CCCCCCCTCACCGCCTACCACTTCCAGGGCACTGCAGGGGGCTGGTATGAGGCATGCATTCCTGTAGGATGCCGGCTTAGACACCCCAGCCCTTCAGCCCCCTTCATGCTTTGTCTCCATTATTGCTTCTGTATTCTTTAAGATGGAGGAAAACCCTAGGCAGAGAGATCCCAGGGGCAAAATAGAAAGAGAAAGGAATCTTCTTTGACTGTAACAGAACTGGTCAAGTTTGCAACAGAGTGAGGGTGCAGGAAGGTGCTGTTACTAATTTTATTTGGGTCCTTTGGAAGTGTCCCTCTCATCAGGGAAGGGAAAAATTATACCTAACCGACACCTGAGCTGTTACTAAGGAGTGAGAAAAAGCCTTACAGGTTCTTTTTCCAAAAATTGGAAAATAAAACGACCGTGTTCTTCTCCATTGAAACTTCTCTGCATTTTGAGTACCACCAATAAGTCTCTCTTTATGAAAACAAAAAGGGGCAAAATTATTTTTAATCCTCCAAAAACCCATAAAGGGGCCCCTTGCTGTGCCTTGTCTGTGTCTCATTTCTAGAACCAGTGGTTAGAAAAAAGGTCAAGTTCCTCACCAAGCTTCCCACCTCCTGGCTCTTGCATCACTCATGACCTCTCTTTCCCAGCTAGTGTTTATGACACATTTAATATGTAACTAATATTTCGCTGGGTGTAGCATCCAGAGGCACCTGAAGCTAACTCTGACTAGAGTGGTTTCTGGACTCATCTCCTGGGTGAGGGCTTGATCACCTATCTCCTCACTCCCCAGTTTCCCCAAGAAAACCCTGAAATAACCAGGTATCAGCACTGCCTATTCAGCTCCCAGTCTGGGCAAAATCAGAAAATGGGCAGAAACAGACAGAAGACCCCAGAGATGAAGCAGAAAGGGAGAACAAGGTGGAGTACTAATGTCCCTGTACCGAGTGGAGGGCTGAGAAAGAGTGGAAGAGAAAGCTGGGTGGAGAAAAAGCCAAGCTAGGATGGGGGAATTGGGGTGGGGAGGAGGCTCTTCCTGGTCGAAAGACTAACAAAGATTGTGAGCGCTGGAGAAGAATCTCTGTTCCAATTCGGTGTCTTTCAAACACTTTGAGAGACACCAGTAAAAAAAGAAACATTTTACATACACACATACATTTACCCATGACACAAGATGCCCAGAATCACAGCTCTGCCATGACTGCTAGCCAGAGTAGAAAAAAACATTTATCTAGAACCTACTAAGAGCCAGATACACTTATCTCATTTAATCTCACCAGGGCCTTATGAAAGCAGGGTTTACCCCCTTCAAGATAAGATAGTTGTGACTCAAGGAGATAAAAGTAATTGCCCGAAGTAAAAAAGCTAGCAAGTAGTGGGGCAGGCATAAAAGCCTGAGCTCTCCTGGGTGTGCGGCTGGGAGCTGGGAACCACATGCCCCTGGGAGACACTGGGCCAACGTTGTTGCCAGGGAAGCATCTGAGGTACTGGTCTGCTGTGTGCCTCTGCCGGGGGTGTCTCTGATCTGTGCTCCATTGTGAAACTGTGGTTCTCCTGACACTGTTACACAGAACCTGTGGGTCTGCTTGTGTGTGGTCATAAACTGCAGCCCATCCAAGCCTCTTTCTTTGCCCTTCCAATGTGCACTTGTGATAGAAGTCCACATACATGCAAAAACTCCTTTTTATGCGTTCCTCCAGAAACCTTTGTACTCTTCTCTCTCTCTCCTCCTTTACCCTTTCCCTACTTTCTCAGTTCCCCTTCTAGTCCTTTGTCTACTACCTAGTTTCCAGGCATTTCCTCTCACTGATCTTAACCTTCTGGAAATATAACCAAGTATTTTCTTTAGCAAAACTTGATAATGTTCTGAGTTATTTACCATTATTCCCCAGGACAAGGGTTGGGGTCTCTTATGACCCTTTCTCACTCTGGCCAACTACATTGCTGCAAACTTACTTCTTATAGCTGTAAATAGCCCAGATTACACGTCTCTAAATTGCAAATTATCCTGATCTCATCTTTCTTTTATTTTGATAATACTTCCTTGACTGAAGAGAAAGAAAGACAAATTGTTCTGGAGGGAAGCCAACAAAGAATTCTGTTTTCTGTGTGACCTTAGAGGAAACAGTCACAATCCCCTTATTTCCTCACTATTTCTAAGTTTCTTCTTTTTCATAATGAGTCAACAGAAACCTTGCTGGAAGAGACCTTGGAAAGGTTCCCTGAAAGTAAACTGAGGCCCAGGGCCAGTAGATGCCTACTGCAGTTGAAAGCCCCGGCATCAATACTTTCCAATCTGAGTTAATCCTGTGTGCTCCCCTAAGGCAAAGCCAAGTTGGAAGCATTTGGCTAACAAATTTACCCTCTTCTCAAAGGCAGGGTTCTCTCGTTGACAATACCATGAGCTTCCCCTCCTTAGTTCCAGCACAATTCTTTACCCTCACCATTTGCTCTGCTCTCCCCACCCATGTCTAGCCCACCCGCCTGGCCAGTGCTCAGCCACAGGGGCTGACAAAACAATTTGGATGACCAGTGAAAGCCAGCTACGGTTCTCACCATCCTGGTGACACAATGAGTTGATGATATTTAAAAAAAGCTTTAACATGTATACAGGCAAAGATATTTCTGCACATGTGCATACGCACGCACACACACACACACACACACACATTACTGTCACGAATACTAAAGACAATTTCTTTCTCCAACTACCGAATGGCAGAGCCTGGTAGGGAAGACAGTGGCACCCAGTGGACAAATGTTTGATTGTTTGAGACAGGTGTTCCAGCCTGATGTAGTCATATATTTCAGCCTTCAGAAAGGTCAGTTGCTTCCCTCACCTTTCCCTACCTTTCTGTCATCCCATTTTTTTAAAACATCTATGGAATTTAAAAACAGTGGGAAGGCAAATGTTCTTATGCTTCTATCTTTTCAAGAATAAGACTAAACTAAAACACTGGAGAGAGCAAAAACTTCAAGATTAAAAGCTCTGAGAACAGTGTCTATATTTGATTAACATATTTCAACAGTAACAGTAGATATAGCCACATCTAAGAAAGCACTCAGCTTAAATAAGATGTAATATTGAAAATGCCTAGAATGTGTGTTTTTTTTTTTAACACATAATACTTTCCTTTTTAAACCACGTCCAGCATCCAGTTGAGTTCACTTGGTTATACATACTTGGCAACTCCAAGCACAATACTTAAGGAAAATGGTGCACACAGACCCTGCAATTTAATGCCGTCACGCAGTTTGCAAGCCGCACAGACACCGGTGTCCCTCTCCAGCTCTTTTAATGACTCTTTTGGTTGTGAGCACATTGAGTAGGGAAGCCCTGCTTATGTATCTTTCTTCCCAGAACACCTAACTAGCATTTTACTCATGGTAGGTACAAAGAAATTGAGTGAAATCCAGTTTCCATTTTATGTATGTCATCTGCTAAACACAGGGGGAAAAAAAGGATCTAATTGCTTGATGTTACATAAAGGATCATCACGTTAAGAATCTTAAATACTAGGTGCTCTTTGTATTGGATAAAAATATATTTTTAAGAATAAAAGGGATGCATACCTTTATGGGTGTACTGAATTTTACTGATATAAATGAGAACTCACTGAAACATTCAATTACAAAATAAATGTACATCTTTTAGTGCAACGAATACATACCAGCAGGGTGCTCTTTAGTTTGCCATTCAAAATTTTTTCCAGGTTTGGAGGCTTTGAAATTCTTAGGTTTTTTTGCTTTGAAATGTTACCTCATGTTCATCATTATGTTCTTTGTAATTTTGCCTTAGTTTGAGCCTGGTTTTTATTTGTTTTAGAGAGAAGACCAGTTGGCAAACCAGAGTTTTAGCATGTGACTGAGATGGAAACTCTCCCAGATGGGTCAGGGCCTAGAACAACACCCTTTCTTTAATTGACCTAAGTCTTTGCATGAATCACATTTAGTCAGTAAACAATAAACACATCCCAAAGAAATGCACCTTTTTGGTAAATTGAAAAAGAAAAAAGAACTGGAGGTCATCTGTGTGTGTCCCTACATCACCTGTTTACTCTATTTTTCTCATAACACAAGTACCTTTCCCCCCAGTTACTGCAAAAATCCTTGTAAAATTCTGAAGCAATCTAATTTTGCTGTACAGACCTTTATTATGAGAAAAAAAACCTCTTAAAATTGTTTTTCAAAAGTTTATGAAAATGCATTATCAAAATGTATCAACCCATGGTCAATCAATAAACCTTTATAACATTTTAGGATCTCATCTGTCCTTTTTCCTCCACTGACTGTCACCAAGAATGAGCACTGGTGCCCCCCAGACTCTAGGGGGCCAAGACCGCCTTGCTCTCTAGGGCCAATACCTCCTGCCCAGTGGGAAAGGATACAAGTAACAATGGGATTTGCACTATACATTATATTATTTGCAAAGTGTGATCAGACTGGCAAATGGCCCAGCCCCTGGTATAAGCTTTACCGATACACTCCGTTTCTCTGAAATCAGAGACCTGCTATACACAGATCATCTGTCAAGTGTCCAGGCTGCCCAGTAGAGGCTGGGCTTCCCCTAGGACCTGCTTCATTTCTGTGAATTTCAAAAAACCCGATAGGGAAGCCAATATTTGAAAAACTCTCTTTCCTCAAATAATTTGAGAAAATTACTCCTGTGTGGTTCCTATAGGTTTTATCTTACCTCTGGGCTTATCTGTTTATAATGCAAATACCTTTCATTTATTCAGAAAAACCACTTGCTTAAAGATGGCTTGCCTAACTCATGGGCTGTGGCGAATAGAAATCAAAATATAAGTGTAAAAGGAGTTGTAATGGCTGAAAGGATCCATACAGATAAAAGTAACTATTCTTATATCTGAATGAATGAAATGCTGTATCTGTATGTGTATGCATGTGGCTGTATATTTGTGAGTGCAAAGGTTAAAACATGTATTTAGATTTACACTTGCTTTATTACACACTGAGGAACATATATTTCCAGTCCCAGTGACAAGTATTACCTGTTCGGATAAGGATTTAATCTTTTCTTCTGCTTCCTTCAGGCAACTCTCCAAGGCCTCAAGTCGTGCCAAAGCAAATGCCATCTGTCCATTGTCCAGAGACTCTTTCTTTAAGACAATAATCAAGTATTACTTTTTGACATAGGTGGCTTCCTGAGTGTATCTCAAACAACTTTATGGATTAAGGATAGGCTTAATAAACTCTTATAAATCATCTCCTTTCCTTCTTCAACATAGTAATAAACAGTGAAATGTTATAAAAACAATAGTCTTGTTTAAAACAGTGGAGAGTCTAAAGTGAGGGCAAAAAACACATACCAAATTATGACAACAAAGAACTTTAGAAAGTTAGAACAATTATTCACATTGCAGTTTGGTTAATCTGCAACTTTTATTCTTGATACAAAGAGAACTTTCCTTCAAGAGGTTAGGACCAAAAATTCAAACTCCTAATAAGAGATGTCATCTAGAATGCCTGTGTTTTTAACATTCACCTGTCTTGAGGAACAGAGCGACTTCCCCTCAAAGAAGCTCCTTTTTCCTCTGATCATCACCTTCTTAACACAAGTTCAATTAAAGCAAAGATACCACGTGGTTTAGAATTCGGTCATTCTTGCGCAGAACATGGCTAACATAACTCAGTAGATTTGTAGACTCTGCCTCTCAAAACTGTTCAAAAGTTGGTCTTTCCCACTGGCAAGCAGAAGAGCACCCAAAGTTGATATGGAAATATCCGTTACAGGCTTTAGTGAGACTAAAGCACTTCCTGACTACTCTTTGGCTATTAGGACGATGAATTAATTAATGGCTGCACAGCTATGGGAAAACCTAAAAAGGAAAACCGCCTATGTGCTGGGATTATAACCTTCCTATAGCCTCCTTGGGTGTGTGTGTTCTGTTTCCTTGTGAAGGCTCAGGCTGTTGCAGCTGCTTCCAATTAACCCCACAAAAAGAAAGAACTATGTTGCTACATACTTTTTTTTAACTGCTGTTTTGTTTCTTCTCTTTGGTTTTAGGAGCTTACTGATGTTACACATGTGTGCGTTTCCTAATGATACAATAGAGCCATCTGGTGGTAAATGGAACCAGCCACAAAAATAAAGCATTCCTTTAGTTCCTATAATAGCTCATACCTTACTCTGAACCTTAGGGCCCTGCCACAGGCCTCTGATATAAATGAAACTCCATGGGATGTGGGGCAAAAAGATGTTGCTACATCTCAAAAACAACCTGGTTCTTAGGTCACACATGGTTGCATCATCTCCCCTAAAAGTCAGGTTTTAGGGGTTGAACACCTTGGATGATACTTGGGGTGAATCAATGATCCTCAGCATCCCATGATGATTCCACTAATTTCAAGAATCAACCCCCCAAAATCTCAAAAACCAATCCTCAAAACAAAATTCTTGTCTATTTATACTTATAGATCATTCATGCTACAAAACATTTTAGGCAGAAAAGGGAAATTGTCAAGAGGCCAAATGCCGAAAAGATCGGGAATCCCTGGTCTACGCTACTACTTCTAGGGAGAATCTTCTTGTCTAACATTTGATCTCAAGAGGATGGTTTAAAAATTCATATGGGTAGACCAGGCAAGATCAGCTCATCTATTTCTCTCTGTCTTTTTCTCCAAGCATCTCCCATTTTCCCATCCAAGAAGGACAACCATTTCCAGTAAGACAAAAGCAATATAAGTCAAAGCCAAATGAAACAGGCTTGGCTGAAGACTTTTATTAAATAACATAGGACTTTTTGCACAGGTAGATTTAAGAAATTGTCAAGTGAGGTAGAACAGGGATAGTCCTGAGCCAAGTGTGAGGAATTTAGTCTGTCTCACGCACATTTACCCAAGCTGCAAGCTGTCACTCTCCACTCTCTGACTTGCCTTCCTGTTCCCGCAGCAGGAGGCAACCCCATTAGCCAAACAAGGGAATAAAAAAATCAAGAATAATTTTGGAAATAAGTAAATATATGGAGTTAGAAGTTTTGGATGTAGTGTGTGGTTTCCTAGGAAAGTTAGGTGTTATTAGTCTTTGTCCCAGTTTTTCAGGAATGCAATGGCAGAAGAGCAAAAAGGTAGAACTTACACCATTAAGTTCATTCTGCTTCAGGTGCCTGTGGACATTTCTTACATAAATCAAGTTACGTTTTTATGAACATGAAACTATGGCATGAAACTATCTTGGTGGTTAAAGTAATTGGTGAGTGAATTACACTAGCCAAAAGTTGGTTGTATGACATCCCCTGTTAAAATATATGTATATATATATACACACACACACACACACACACACACACAAGCGCTTGGAGATAGAACCCGCATCTGTGGATTTTCAAGAATTCCAGCAATTCAGTGGAAATTCCACTTTTTAACTTCTACTCTTGGCCTTAAAATTTTCTACCTAAATATCAAGCTAGTGATCTAAGCACATGTAGCTAAGACAACCAAGATAATTAAACTAAGAGTGCCTCATTTTGAAAATTCAGTAAACTCTTTGATAACAGTAAAGACACTAGATTATTATGCATGTGTGTTAAAGTTGATAGTCCATCAGTTGACAAATCTTACACAAAATTTTAAGAGTAGATTTTCTTTTGGCGGCATAGGTTCCCAATTTAAGAGTTGGTAGGCAAATCTCTTTTTTTCTAATTTAATTTTTCTTGATTTCTCTAACCCATATGTGTATCCTTTAATTGCCCCCTTCTTTACTTTAAAGTTGGTATTTCTGTTTTTCAATGACCTTGCTCTAATTCCTCAGCCACCCTTCCAGACTGGTTCAAGGTCTCTGAGCCAAATCCTTCCCCTGTGTCTGAGTCCATGTGCACCACATAGCAAGGCCCTTGTCTGAATAGACCAGCCAGCCCAGCCCTGAGCATTTAACAGGAGCTCAATAAATAGCTGTTGATTGATTAAAGGCTCTGCAGTGGGAGAAGGTGGTTGCACCAGAAGAAGCAGCCCTTTATGCTGAGAAGCTGATAACAGTGACTTCTTTAAGCTAAATATTTCCATGCATCCAGATTGGGACACTGACAGGGATCAGAACCTTAGAGAAATTCTGCTTACCAAGTCTAGGTGCAAGGTAATGAGTGTAGCAGAGGGCAGGGAGATGGCCATGAGGTTGGGTGATGACAGGGGTGTTGTGAGGATTAAACTAGGTGAAACAGGTAACTACTTATTATTAATAATTCCATTAATGCCTTTAATAAGAGCCACTTGATATTAAAACTTCCTAGCTTATTTTTAAACTCTAGTAAAAGAAAGTCTCCATAGAGATACTTTTGTAACAGCAAATGATCATATGATAGCAGTGGAAAATTCAGTCAAGTATGCAATTAAAACAAAGTTAATATGTTAAATATATGCATGTGCATTTATTTAAAAGCAAGATTCCTAAATGAAGGTGTGGTTATAGCAAGTTCCACCTTTACAGAAGAGAATTTTGATGTGGGTCAGTTAAAGACAAATGTTTCTAGCAGTCGCAGGCTTCTAATGTCCAGGGTTCCAGCAGCAGCCCCTGCTCAGGGGTTCGGTAACTTCTTGCCAGATAAAACATGCTTTCAACATATTTTGCAATGGTGAAGTTCCGGCTTGATGTCTCGTCTCTTTACTGCTGCTGTCCATTTCTCTTTCCCCCTGCTTGACAGGCACTGAAGGCTTCACATCTCCTTCCCCTTCTACAACCTGCACATATTCTCAGGCAGATGAATGTCTATCCCAGCCTTCTACTTAAGCACATTTCCCTAGGCAGATTTATAGCATCCCTCCCCTATCTTTGAGGATCAGAATTCATTTTATAGTAGAAATTTCATCACCTTCTTTCCTTTCTGTGATTAGCTTTTGCAATAGTTTCTCAGGCTAACTTGCCAATTTCTATTTAGGCAGCCATTTAAAAACTCAGTTTTCCTGATTTCAGTCCATTCTGTTGAATACAGTAATCCTCTCTGTGTTTGGACTTGCCTTAATAATAACCTTACAAGATTCTTTTGATTCAAAACTTGAACAAACTATAACAATTGTCAAAACCCAGTGGGAAGATTGTAGAAAGCTTCCCACCAGCATGACTGCGGAGGAGATGGCCCCGGAGGAGGACAGAGGAGCTCTGTAACCTGGGAGGTCACATTCTGGACCTAACTGACGTGCGGTCGGGCTGGGTGGCTTTTGGACTTCACTTCTTGGGACCTTGGGTTTCTCGTCTTGAAATGAAGACTATACTGGTCAGATCTCAGCAGGAAAGAGAGGGCCACTCAAATGGAGCGACTGGGGGAGCTTAATGAGGAGGTGATACTAAATCAAGGCATGGGACAGTTTAGGGGCATCAAACAAAGGATGGTGAGGCACCGCCTAAAAGTGAGGGTACCTTTGCCTTACCTTGACCTGAGGACGATGGGGGAGCATTGTTCCAGGACCTAGAGAGCAAGCGGGAAGAGAGGGCCACCCCCAGGAGCTAGACGTTGGGTAGAGGAGTACAGCTACTGCCAACCTACCAGGCAGTAGTGGTGGACAGACCAGTGGAATAAATAGCCTGACCTCCTCCCCTCTCACCCTCTCTTCTGTCTCTCTCTCCCTTGGGCTGAACCCAACAAGAAGCCAGAAGGCAAGAGAGCCTGAATGTCAAGTCCAGAGAGACCAGCTTCCCTGGAAAAGAGCAGAGTGGGGAAGGCTTGAGAGTAGATCTGCAGGAGGAGACAAAGAAACCTCAGGCCAAAGGGGTTTGATTATATTTGGAGTTCCCTAATGCCAACCTATAATAGATCAGTGCTGGTTTGTGATAACATTTTCACCAGTCAGCTAGAAAAAGATAAGAGTAAAATTTTTTGAGAAAGGAACATGGTGAATTTTTCATGAAGCCAAATTTATTCCATTTAGTGGATTGTCCTTTATTTGGAGATTATGATCATTCTATATATATTGGGGTTAAGAGGATACTTCTTTAACAAATGATAGTAACAGTGTATGAAAATTATTGTGTTCTAGTGTTTTTTTCTGGAAAAAAAAAGAAAAGTTTGCAGTCCTATGATAATTAACCCCAATTATTTTGAGGGTAGAAATTCTTATAGGTTTATGAAATCTAAAAGTATAGAGACCCTCTGCTTAAACCATCTCTGTTAAATTCTGAAGTGAATGCTTTATCAGGTGGCTTTTCAGGAACTATGGTACCTGAATTCCCCTGGACCAAATCAAAGATGGACCTGTATTCAATATCGAGTTGCTTTAGCAGGGTTCCAGGATACTATTTTTCTTGAAAAAACACATTTTTAAAGGTCAGCCTGTCATCCTGTGGTGGGAAGATTTAACTACTTTTCCATTTCTATAGCATCATTGATAGGTTGCAAGAAAAAGTATTGGAAAGGAATTGTTGATTCAGATTTTAACTTACAAAAAGATTGTTGGCATGGAAGTTTAAAGAAGAATGACCGTGGGACATCTGATAAGTTCATAAACAACTTTAATGTCTTGCCCCAAAGTCTCCACATGCCAACTTTCACTTCAGTTCAAAGAATTTCAATTTATTAAGTTCAAAAAATATTTATTGAGGCCTCCCTATTTGCCAGATACTGTGCTAAGCGATGCGGTAGTAAGTAGTAACAAGACAGGGTTAATAACATCACCGGCATTCTCAGCTTAGAATTTGGTTCTACTCCCCAAATCCTGGGATTTAAGTTTTATGTAAAAATCAAAAGAATATCTACAGTGTGGTGGTTGATTTAATATTTTTATGCTCACTTGTAATATAAGGTTCTGGGCTTTTCTCCTTGATGGATTCTGGAAGATGTTGGGAGGAGGTAAGAGGCAGTCCTAACCTGTCTTCAAATATTCCAGATCTGTCTCAAATAAGATTGCTTCATACCTTCTCAGAGACCCTGTACAAATACATCAAAGGAGAAAAGGGGCCTAGTAATCAGTGTGTATCTTCCGTCATTTACAGTTAACGGTAAAATGGACAGGGTTCGAGGAGCCCTGAATGTAGGCTCATATTATATTACAGAATTTGTTCTATGACCTGAAGTAGCCCTCCACTGTTTTGATTTTATGTGAACGTTTCTTAAACCTTTGAGCATCACAAACCTCTTTGTGTACCTTCTGGTATCTGTGAATTCCCTCAGTAGGAAAAAAATGCATTAAGTACATGCTTGCGTACATATACACACACACAGGGCACACGTGCCCAGAATTTTGCCCAAAATGTACTTTTAGGGTGTTAAAGCATCTTTCTCAATGCTATCCATGTAGCCCACATTATGAATTCTGTGTTTAAAATGCATAGTATATTCCAAACATCTTTAATTTTTATCCTAAAATACCAAATCTTAATGAATGAGAGTATCAATATGTTCTTACTGTCTCTATTTGTACATCATGCAAATGAATGAAAACAAATAATCCTTTCTTCCTAAGGAAGTGTCCTGAGCTCAAAAGAAACAGAATAGTCCCTCTTTTTGGACAGTGGAGCACATCTTCCCAGGGAAGCCTGGTTCTTGTAACTGAAACCTCACAGCAACTCGTGCTAACCCATCATATTGACCAGGAAGTAAAGGTTTAAATAATGAAAATATATTTCCTTCATAACAAAGGAAAAAGGACATAGCAAGGTAATTTGCTGTTTAAAAAGATTTTGACTTCTTTAAAAAAATGAAAGAGAAGGGAAACGGGGAATTGTTTGATGGATATCTAGTTTCAGTTTTGCAAAGAGAAAAAGTTGTGGAGATTGGTTTACAAAAATGTAAACATGCCCTTCCTTAGTGAACCACACACTTAAAAATGGTTAAAATGATCATTTAATGTTAAATGTATTTTGCCACAATTAAGACTAAAAATTTATTGTGAAGCAAATGTACAAAGCAGGTAAATTATGGAGTGTAAGAATTAGTTGATGTAAAATTAATTCAATTACTCTCTACCTACTTCAAAGGACTGTTGTGAGAAAAAAAGATTGCACATAATAAAAACTGATTTTTTTATAAAGTGAAAAACAAAATGGAATCTTACCAAAGGAAAGGATTTTGATTCCATCAATAAAGAAAACACCCAAAAAAAGACTTCTTAAGTAAAATTTTGCTTTAATGGGGCACATACTTATAATAATACAATTATTTTCCCCATATATGAAGATAGTGCTTGGAATAGCTGAGTCTTTTTGTGACAGGATTACTTATTTTCCCACAGTTCATACATTAATTTAGAGTTTGAGTATGTTGGCATACTGACCACCAATGTTTTCATTCTCTTACTGTATCCCGTTGTTTTAGGAAATGCACGTGCTCGTAGGAGGAAGCATTTTCAGGTTAGCTTATGAGGGAGGTGAGGAAAAGTCATTGCCCAAATTGATTGTTTTTTTCAGACTCAGTTTTGTGAATAAATTACTGCTACACTGTGTATAATCAACAACAAATGCTTTATGACTGACAGTGTTCAGTACGAAGGTATTTTTTTCCACCAGTGCATTTTAGGCTAGAGCCTAAGTAAACTTTAAAAAACCCAAGAAATTAACTACAATAACTACAGTGATAAGAACTTAAATACTCTAACGATGTTGTTCCCAAAACCTAGCAAGGAAATCCTTAGTTGAACTTGACTTTCCATGAGAAACCTTTTCCACAAGAACCATTCCTCCTCTTCCAACCCAGCCTGGCATTTGTACAGACTCCCCTCTACCAGCATTTGAAGGCAAAGTGCGTTATGAATCCTTTAAGATCAGATAAAAGTTCAGCAACAATTTCCATGGTACATTCCAATGTGATAAGGTAAGCAGAGGACAGATGGGAGAGCTGCTCTCTTTTGCTGTGAATTTCCACTTCTTGTAAGGCCTGTCTGTCACCGTACTGGTGAGAGGCATGGCAGGAAAAAATCAAAGAAGGGGCAGCATGCTCAACATCAGCATTTCAGTGGTCCTGTTTTCTCATCTGTGAGATGAGAAGACCATGAGACCTAATTCATCTTCTGCTCTATGGTGGCCATTTGTCATGCTGTTCTGATGGCCTGGTGTTTTTCTCTGTTTGGAGAATTTCCCATCTCACAAATCTCACCTCCCCAAAGTATAAGCCAGGAGCTCCTATCAAGCATCCTTTACAGTCAAGGTGTAGGCAGGTGACTTAGGCACACACCAGCCTGAGACTTCAAGACGGGTGAGGGTGAAATGGAAAAGGGCTGAACAGAATGGAATCTGGCCAGGCTGATGGGGTCATTCTGTTTTCAGAGGCTGCAGTGACCCAAGACTTAGAAGTATTACCTTATACCCAGGGGAAATGTCATGGGGCCAATGCCCAGGTTAGGTTCTTCTCTGACTCTCTACAGACCCTCTGAAATACTTAATATCCTTTAGTAATTCATTTTCCCCTTAGTACTTACTAGAATGGGTTTTGTTGACTTCAGATACAAAACCAAATGATTATTATTGTTCATGGGACTGTAAGCAAGTAATTAAATTATTCTGAATCTCCATTTCCTCACCTCTAAAAATGGCAAAAATGATAACCTAATGGGAGCTGTCAAGCTGATTAAATATGGCAATACAGAAAAATACATAGCCTAATGCCTGATCCACTGTGATATAATGAGTCATTAGAAATACATGTTTGGTCATTCATATGACCAAATGTATACTTTGCAGGTATATTTGTTCGTCATCCGCAGTTCCTGAAAACACTGCAGAGTCCTAAAGCTGAAATGGGTGTCATGTTAATGAGACTTTTGGACCCACCCAAGGGCAGGGCTGGAGGTTGAGTTAGTCAATGAAGCCCTCACAAAAACCCCTGAGCGTATTGCTCTCTTGGATCCTGCTTCCCAGTTGGGGAGAGCGTCTACGCTTGAGGAACCACAGCGCCCCCACCTGCCACCGGGCCAGGTCCCCAGTTCCACGAGGACAGAAGCGCCTTTATTGGGGACCGTGCCCTCTGTCGCTCTTCATCTGACTGCTAACTTGTGTCCTTTACGGTATCCTTTATTAAGCTGGTAAATGTGTTCTCCTGAGTTCTGTGAGCTTCTCTAGCAAATTAATCGGACCTAAAGGGGAAGTCTTTTGAACTTCCAATCTGTAACCAGTAGGTCCGAAGCACAGACAGCCTGGGGCTTGAGACCTGTGTCTGGAGTGGCAGGTGGAGGGCAGGCTTGTAGATTCCCCGTAACCTAGGCAATCTGGTGCTGTCTCTGGGAAGACAGCATCAGAACTGAGTTCTCAGACACCCTGCTGGTGACACACACACACACACACACACACACACACACACACACACACACACACACACACGAATCAGGTCCAGGAACCCGAAAGGAGACATACTACTATTACTGCTGTGTTTAATCCTATTATCGTTGTATATGAAAAAACATTGCTTCCACAAGTGGAGATTTTTTTTTTTTAATCATTTTTTTAACCTCTAGGTTTTATGTTTCTGTGG